TCGCCCCCGCCGCGCTGCGCCAGCACCGGCGCGCACGCCTCGGCGTACTGGTTGTAGGCGTAGCTGCACTCCGGCTCCCCCTGGCACTGCAGCAGCGCCTGCCAGCAGATGAGGCGGCGGCCGTGCGCCAGCCCGGAGCCCCGCGGCGCCGATCCCAGCAGCTGCAGCAACGCCATCAAGCACAGCCAGGCGCCCGGCACGGTCCCCACGCGGGCCCCGCTGCCGCCGGCCAGCAGCACGGCCACCATCTCGGGCAGCGGCGGCCGCCGGGCGAGGAGAGGAGAGGAGAGGAGATTCGGGGAGCTGCCGACGCGGAGCCGGTGGAAAAGTTTGCCCAAGTCCTGCCCACTTCTTGCATGAGTGTCTTCATAAATCCATGCGCGCCGCTAGCTGATGCCCCACGGGCGGCCGACGGCGGGCTCTCGCTCCTGGAAACGCACAGCCGCCGTGATTTCTGTCCAGATCCCAGGCCCCGTTGAGCCCTCTCGCGCTCGGCTCCCGGCAGTGGCGGGACGCGCTCACTGCCGCCCCGGGGGGCCGCGGGCCGCGGGGCCGCGGCTGGGCTGCAGGACCGCGAGACGCCGCGGGTGCATTTTGCGCCGCGGTGGCTGCTCCGTGGTGCGGCCGGCGGCGTCCAAGCTCGCTGTTCGCTGGGCGGCCGTGGCTGCTCTTTCCTCCTCCCCGGCTCCACACCGCGCTAACTGCCGGCTGCTTCTTTTTTTTTTTTTTCCTCCGCCTCGCGCCGCTTCCTGGCTCGGAGTCCGAGCGCCGCCCGCTTTCCAGCGATCCGGCCGCCCCGCGTCCCCTCCCCCTCCGCCCGCGGCGACCCCGGCCTGGGCAGAGCGCCGGGGAGCTCTTTCCGAGAGGCGCGGGGAGAAGAAGAAACTCCGCGCGGCCGTGGAGCGGCTCCCAGGCTTCCCTTGGAGGCGGCTTTCTCGGGTGACCAGGAGCCCGGGGAGCTGATCCGCTGAGCCCGGCGGCGGCGGACTGGCTCTCAGCGAGGCTTTAAATACAAAAGTGGGCCGGGAGCCCCCGCGTGGTGCTGCGGTGCCCCCTCATTATGCATGCATGGAAAAGCAAACAAACAAAAACATTAGCAACGCTCCTGCGGCTCTCGCCGGGCCCCGGCCCCGCGCGCTCCGAGCCGGCCCGCTTTCTCCTTTCTCCACTCTCTTTTTCGCTCTTTGCTCAGCCCCCTTTCCTGGCTTTTCGAGATGCTATTGGTTCTGCCTGTTGTTGTTGAAACTTTTTTTTTTTTTTTTTTTTTTTACGAGCCGCTGGAGTGGGGTTGCAGGGTGGGGGAGGGCGGGGAGAGTGGTGGGCAGCTCACATTCAGGCATTCAGGGCTTGAAAGGAGCGGCTTAGGGAGCCTGACAGAGCCCCGGAGCTCCTCCTACTCTTAAGGAGGCTCGGCGACGCTTACCCAGCTCACGCAAAGAACCAGCGGGCAGGGCTTAGGGGGCAGCTGTTTGCATCCGGCTCAGCCGTGGGCCTTTTTGTTTGGTTCTTTTACCTCCCCCTCCCCCCTTTTTTGAGGAAGGGGCTTTTTTATATTAATTCTCATGGACCCCTTCCCACCCCTAGCCATCTGTGACTTCTAGTAGGTTCAGAAGTCAGTTTTGTTTTTGTTTTTTTAGATTTCCAGTCTTTTAAAGTATGATCTTGGAGGGGCGAAAGGGAAAGTCCAGAAAGTTTAAAGTGGGACTTTTGACAATTCACACACACACACACACACACACACACCTCATACAAAAAAGTTACCCTTCTTTTTAAAAAGGGCTTAAAAAACGCACACTTTTTAAAACTGGGGAGATGTTGATGAGATGTAGTTAACCCCTCACTTGCCAGCCCTAGCTAAGGGACTTGACAGCTTAGAGCCCTTGAGCCAAGCCTGGGTTTCAAGTTGCAAGAGACTGAAATCCAAAAACATCTCGTCAGTTTCTTGGTAATAAAAGTTCATAACAGGTACGATCATGAAAAAGAACAGAATTAAAAATGTAAGGAATGTTAAACATTACCATCTGGCCGCAGTCATTGCACTGTAGACGGGTATAATGGACACACAGCGAGGTTTCAAGTGTACCTTTCAACTCTTCAAGCAGCGCGGGGCTGGAGAGCTACCTTAAATGGGGCGCAACTCAGCCTTCTGCCACCAGAGGCTGCGGGCGTCTTGGGCCTGTCAAAAACTGGCGCTCTTCCCCCTTTCCTTTCCGTGGAGAGACTATCAACTCCATCTGTCACCGAATTTAAGGCTAAATCTCCTCTCCAGAAACGGAGAGCCAGTCGGGGCTCCAGCGTACCGACCTGGGCGTACTGAGTCGGCCTGTGCGCTTCTCCCCCAGGCAGAGCGAATTCCACATGGTAAAAGTCAGAGGGGAGCTCAGCACTGGGGACCCTCGGGGATGGCTGGTTCTACCTTTGGAAGTGGATCTCTGCCTTCCCCAAACAAAACTAAACCCTAAAAGAGACCATGGTCGTCTGAGTAGAAGAAAACACTCCTAATCTATATTTTTAAAACTGATTGAAAGCCCAGCACTGGTGGCGCCTGCCTGTAAATCCTAGTTATTCCAGGGAGGTTGAGATCTGAGGATCACGGTTTGAAGCCAGCTCAGGAAGAAAAGACCCAGTGAGAGTCTCAACTCCAATAAACCACTCAAGAATGGGAAGTGGCGCTGTGGTTCAAGTGGTAGAACACTAGCCTTGAGCTAAAGAGCTCAGTGACACAGCACCCTGGCCCTGAGTTCAAGCCCCACAACGGACCGAAAGATAAATTGAGAGACGCTTGTTGAAGATCACTGTTCAAAGTTAGTTTGGGCAGGAAAGTCAATGAGCCTTTTATCTCCAATTAGATTCTTATCTCCAATTAACCACACACACACACACACACACACACACACACACACACAAAGGCTAGAAGTGGTAGAGAGCTAGCCTTTGGCAAAAACAAAACAAAACAAAAACTAAGGGACAGTGCCCAGGCCCTGAGTTCAAGCCCCAGTACCAGCGCACACAGCACACAGCAAACGCACACACACACACACACACACACACACACACACACACACACCTAGACAGCTTGACTCTGGCTGTTTTTAGCGTGGTCTTTGGAGTTGTCATCTCAGCCCTATTTGAAGGGCTAGAGCAACTCACCTCTATGACTTGGTCAAATGAGACTCTTGATAAACTCATTTATGTATATATGTATATTTGTGTATTTACTTATTTATTTATTTGTGCCAGTCTTGGGGCTTGAATTCAGGGAGTGGGCACTGTTCCTGAGCTTTTTTTTGCTGAATGCTAGTGCTCTACCACTGGAGCCACAGCTCCACTACTGGTCTTTTGTTGGTTTATTGGAGATGTGAGACTCAGGGACTTTCCTGCCTGAGCTAGTTTCAGATTGCAGTCCTCAGATCTCAGTCTTCTGAGTAGCTAGGATGATAAGCATGAGCTAGTGATGCCTAGCTATTATCTTTATATTTTTAATGCTAATATTGGGGCTTTAACTCAGGGCTTTGTGCTCTTGCTTGGCTGATGTTCTACCACTTGAGCCTTTTTGCTAGTTAATTGGAGCTAGTATCAGAGTTGTCCTTCCAGGTTCTCCTCAAACCTCAATCCTCAGATCTCAGCCTCTTTTTATGGTTTTGTGTTTTTGTTTTTGTTTCAGTACTAGAACTTGAACTCATTGCCATGGCGATGTCCTTTAGCTTTGTTGCTTAAGGCTGTCACTCTACAACTTGAGCTACACTTCTACTTTGGGCTTTTGACTGGTGAATGATAGTCGCTCAGATTTGTCTGCCTGGCTTTGAACTGAGACCCTCAGTTCCTGAATAGCTAGGATTACAATCATGAGCCACTAGCACCTGGGTCTTGAGTTTCTTCACATTAGAGGGTCTCATAAGTAAGTTAGCAGGAGATTCCTATAGAGGCCTTGTTAAATAAAGTCCAAGTTTTGGTTCTGGAGTTTCTGATTAGATAACATTGGGGGATTAGGACCCTGGAAATCAAACTTCTTAATAAGTTCTAAAAACGTGCTAAAGCAGCTTAAGGATGTCTACTCTAGAGGATGGCTTTTATTTAGTTAATTTTACAAACTTTCCCTACCTTAGCCTGACATGGTGAAGGTGAGATTTAAGGAAGATCTAAACACTGTGCATCCTCTGGGGACTCCTGGGCAGCAGGGTCAGGACAAGACATTTTACGTTCCTAGTGCTATCAGTTCCATTCCTATTCAATAACTCCCACCTGCTCACAATAGGATACATTTTCTCCCACAAACAGGCTCACTTTCCCTTACTCTTCTGTTCTCCCAATTCTCTATTTTGAGTTCCTTCTGCCAGTTTACTACCCAAGGGCACCAATGAGCCAAATCTTGCTTTTCCTAAGGCCACTTTTTCAGTAATTATTTTATTGACTTTTTTTTTTTGGTAGAGTTGAACTTAATTGTCACAATTACCTTCTTCAACAGTTCTTTTTCTCTATCATCAGTTTGTCTTTTGGGACTCATCCTTCTCTATGTGCCCATTTTGCTCCAGGGAATTCTAAATTTTTCCCTTAGGTGACCTATTACAGTGACTTGGTTTCAATGCACAATTTAACATTTAAAACCTCAGTCAATCTCAGTCATTCTCTGGCTTCCATTTGTATGTACTCATGTAGTGGTTTAAGGAAAATCTTAAATTTAACTTAATTTCCACATCCAAATACTGTGTGTTCACTATCTTTCTGCAGGAGTCCCCGAAATTGGTCTTTATCATTTTGTGGGTTCCCTCTTTTTTTTTTTAAAAGCTGGTCCTGGGGCTTGAATTGAGGGTCTTGCACTCTCAGTTGGCTTTTTCTCTTAAGGCTGATACTCCACCACTTCAGCTGCACTTTTGACTTTGCTGGTTAATTGGAGATAAAAGTCTTCTGGAAGGCCTGGGCAGGAAGGTGAGATCTGAAGATCACAGTGCAAAGCCAGCCCAAGCAGGAAAGTCCATGAGAAAGCTCATGCCAGAAAACTCTAAGCCTGGATTAGCACTAGGGCTAGACAAGAGAGCCACCTAGGTACAACATTTAAGGAGGCATTGGCTCTCACATTAGTGCTGTAAAAACCTCAAAAGTGAGTGCCTTCTTAAAGTTTGTATTCTAGACACTTCCCTATCCCTCCTTAGTTCTGACCTCTGCTCAAGTTAGAACAGAAGAGCTTAATCTAGTTAACCAAAGAATGTTGTTTTAATTAATTAATGATTATTTTTGTTACTTTTTATTTGTTGTTGTTACTGGTGTATGTCTGGCACCGAGGCATGAACT